CTCTTCCCGGGGCAGCTTCAAAGCTGTCAACGTTTCTCTGATTCCCCGTCCCAGTGACAGGTCGGGGAGAGTTCTTCGTTTCTCCCACGCTCGGGGTCTCCGTCTTGTTGTTCCTTGATGGTTCCACACACACTTTCCTTTTTTTCCCCCCATTTCGTGTGACTGTTCAGACCGAGTATTATCAAAGGGAGGTGTATTTCGAGTAGAGGCCAGATATTTCAGCTTCACATCTGTAACACGGTTTTTAAAACTGTGTGTTTCCTGGGTTTTAAATATTTTCCCTCCCGAAGTTTTTTACATTTTTGAAAGGGGAGAACAGTTTTTGTTATTTTTGAGGAAATCAATGTTCATTTAAAGAGGAAGGAAAGAGTAGCAAAAATATAGAAGAAATCCTGAAAAACGAACAACAAATAGTATAGTAGATACAGACATTCTTACAGTCATTATAGAAGCATGTGGTGGAATGAAATATTTTAATTATTTTCCAACGCACAAAGATCCCTCAACAATTATTTTAAGTGTTATTCTTCCCCCATTTCATAGGCAATATTCCCCAAATACAATTCAGAAGTGAATGAGACTTAATACAAACATAAAAGACTCGAATAACTTTTGCTTTATGGCATGTTAACAGATTCCCCATATTTTGGATTTTAAGATCCAAATTAGAAAGTATCTTTTGAAGATGTGTTTCAAATTAGAACTGTAGTAATTACACATGTGGATGAATGGAAGGGCCTTGCCACTTAGTTGGTCTTTGGAGATGTGTGAAATACCTCGGATAGTAATTCCACCCAGACCCCCAAAACAACTAAATTGTGGTATATCCATAGGATAGACTACTATGAAGACATTGAACATCTTGAGAGAGATTGTGGACTTGGAACCTTCTTCCTTAAGTGAAAACACAGGCAGCAAGTAATACATATGGTTTATTAATACTTCTGTTTAAAAAGAAACAAGAATAAGAGAAAGGTAGCTAAGATATAGATGAATAGCGAAGGTTAAGTTGTTTAGTCTGGTTTTCCCCTGGGAGGTAGGATCATAAGTGCTTTTATTTATTATTTCTTTTTCTAAGTTCTGTTTTTCCAACATTTTTGTTTTAGGCATTAATGCAGTACTAAATATTAAAAATACATGAGGTACTACAGTTTTATAAATGGTCAAAGTACACAATTTGGTTATACTGACTATATAGTCTCCCAGTCGCATGTCATATTCTTTTTTTTTTTTGGAGAGGTTTTTTTTTTTTGCTATAGGGCGCGTGCGCTCGCCAGACAGAGACATAGAGACAGAAAGCGAGAAATCACCCCCCAGGCGGGATGGTCACGACGCAATCCCTTCTCCTCCATTCTCCTCTCGGGATCTTGGGCACGCATGCACACGCGCCCGGCGTGAGTTTTAAGCCACCGGGTCCGGAACATGGACCATGGTTGACTACGTGGGAGTCCAGCGACATAGCCATTACGCTAACTGCTGGTTCCCTCATAAAGTATTCTTTACTGTCCTCTGTAAATTACCATTTTTTAATGAGACTTTTGGACTTATGACTATAATCAAGACCATTTTTAAAACTTAGAATTGAGCTACAGAAACCATTTCTTCTTTATGTAAAAAAATGTTGAAGGGATACTTACAGGCCTTTTAAATTACACAAATAAGCTTTTTCCTTTTTTTAAAGGTCCTATTTAAGTGTACTTTATTTTTTTCCCCCCAACTTTTTGCCAGAAGGCACATGTACTTGCTTGAGAGAGACTGAGAGAAAAAGTGAGAGAGCATCCCCCTTGCGGCACAGTCACACTATAGTCCCTTCACCTCACCTTCCTTTCGGGATTTTGGGTGCCTACACCTACCAGGTGTGTTTCTCAAGCCACCGTGTGGTCAGCCCTGTGTGATCTAGCAACCTGAACCTCCAGGCTAACCCTGAAGCATACTTTTAACACATTTATTAAAATAATGAACACTCAGAATATACCAAATACCATGGTATGGGACAGTGCTACAAAATGAATAAGATGCTGTTTCTCTGACCAGTGTGGTCTTAGAGTTGTGCTTTGAAATTTCAAAGTGATTCATAGTTTCATTTCACTGTCACAGCAATCCAAGGGAGTTAAGTATACTTTAGGTTCACAGTTTAGAGATGAAGAAACAGGTCCAAGAGGTTGTGAGTCAAGCAGCATCAAACAGGTAATTACAGGTGGCAGGCTGGGCTCCTGTTCTAGTCTTCTGAGTATAGGTCCTGTTCCTCCTGCTTCACAACGCTGCTGTTGTTGCCAGACTTACCAAATGTATTTTAAAGTGTGTGCTTTGGATAAGAAAAGATTTGGAAATTATCCTTAAGTTGCATCTTTCTGTTACCAAGATACATTCATGATTCAAGGACTTGGATAGTCTGTCATCTAAAGTATTGGGTTATCAGAAAAATCATGATGCATTTTTGCATAGAAGAACGTAGAAAAATACATCATGACTTTACCGACAACCTAAGATATACGCACAGACGTTTAAATTTGTTGTCATTTGATTATCAGTGGGTTATTTATAAAAGTGATTTTGAACTGTTAAAATGAAAGCGTGTTTTAGTTTAACCTTACTAAACTTACACGTGGTATCTTTCAAATGCATTAGACTTGTGGGAAGAAATGTCTTTGTCTGAAAGTTTTTTTGGGGGGGAAGGGGGAGTAGTTTTCCAGACTCTCTGCTCACACGAGCCATTCTCGGTTTGTTCCAGCTTGCCAACACTCGGTGTCACATGTGAGCCTCCCACATGTGTGCACTCTCCATTCCAGCTCTGTGATTGAACTCTGCTCTTATTGACTAGGGGGCAATTGGGCAGGCATGCTTCATTCCTGGAATTGACAGTCATTCCATGTGAGTAAAGGGGAACCTCAGTGAGACATCTTTAAGCATATGAAAGCGTTTTGGTTTTAAAATGGAAGAAATACCAGCGGCTCTTAATGCCTGAGCCACTGCAGCGGTTTGTTTGATAGGTGCAGACTGATATGCCCGCTTTCTCCAGGTCTCTTCTCTTTCTTCAGCAGTTCTCTTGGAAAGTTTTCTATCTATTCGTGCTCATTTTTACTCCTCTGACCCTTCTTTTCTATTTCCCCTTTCTCTGCCTTGTTCTTCTCTTTCAGTTTTGAATATACTAACACTGAATCAGCACTTCTAAAGCCCTGCCTTCTCCCACTGGCTTCACTTGGCCTTCAGACATAATGAGGAGACTGGCTTTTCGAGGCGCTGGTTGTGCTCTGGTAAAGCTGGTAAATTACTGATCATCAACACCTGTTCCCTTTTCTGTCCTTCCTGCCGTTTCCCTTTCATCTTCTTAAATTGTTGTTTCCCCTTTCATAAAGATTCCCTCCTCATGTTCATCAGATTCACTTGTGTCCTTGTCCTAGATTGTTAATGAAGATCCTTAATTTTTTTATCCTAATGAATTGAGACCAGGTTAATCAGCCTTTTATAAAAGAAACAAAAAATCAACAAAACTTGGCTGTCCTTGGCCTAAGACTTATAAAGTGTTTAGCTACTTTTAGCCAACATCAAACTGATTTCACTGTGAAACAAACTAAATCCCAGAAGAAGGCATATCATCACGGTAGGGCCTGTTTAAAAACCGTGGGGACGGCCATTCAGAGGGAGAGTAAGAGACTCCGCTTGCTTCTTAGTACCTTCCTAGGACTTTTTGTTCGTTTTGCTCCTGCTTCTATTCCCTGGAGATGCTCAACTTTCATACTATGGGCCACCAGTGCTCTGCTGTTCAGTGTATTCAGCTGCTGGTGTCTCAGTTTCCAGAAACTGTCAGTGAGCGAAACTAGGATCTGTTTTTTTTTTTTTTTCTTTAGAAAAAGACCTTTGAAATTAAAATTAATCAAATTAATATTTGATACCAGTGTTAAATTGTATAAGCTTTGTAGGAATTCTTTGGGTCTATAGCCTTTCTATCTATAGCAGATCATTTCAGTGGTTGCATTTCTTGTAGTCAAATGCATATAATTTGTAAAGTTGTGTTAAGATTTATTACTTCTTAGCGACCAGCCCAAAACTGAGAGCAATACTGGGTTGTTTTTGAACAGCCAAGCAGGATCTGAAAGTTCGCATATGAGGTACTCTTTCAGATCACCTAACGAGACTGAAAGTTAGGACTTTAAAATGTATTGAGATAGAATACCACATATAACTGAAAAATAGGTTAGTCTAGATTAACAGAACCATTTGAAAGCAGTTTTGCTATGTCCATCAAGAGATGGAAAATCACATTGTTTATCAGTGGTCTATATTGTGGATCCTGATCTAATGAGTGGAGAAAGTTGATTTTCAGGATGTTAATTTTAGGGTACACCTAAAATACGAGGTTAATTGCCCTCTGTCCCCTTACTTTTTGGCACTACTCATTTGCCTTATGCACTGCTTCCGACTCTTTTCCACATGATGGCCCACCTGGAAAACAGAATTGTGAGGCACATAGTAAAGCAGGTGAGTCTGCCAACTCCAGAGATCCCCAGCTCCTCGGGGCCTCTTATCCCTCAGGCCTGCCTGGCTGTCCCCAGAGCTGAAGGATCAATCCCTCCAGCACACTGATGTGCCATTATATGCGGGTTTAAAAACTCTAGTCCAGGGTGTATTTGAGGCCCAAAGTGGTTGAGTCATTTAAAATTGCTTACATAAAAACGAGAACACTTTTGTTGAATTTGTC